GAATTGTTAATGATTTCATTCACATCCGTAAAACCACAAAAAATATAAGTGGAGTATTGTTTGTAGCAAACAGTCCAATTTCTCATGTAAGAATCGTCAAAGGACCATAAGTCCAAAAAATTGACATGGGTTCTGATAAACCTTGTAGGCTAAATGCATGCGCTTGTGAATGAAAACAAACATCTTTGTACCATGGAGAGTGAGCAATTTGCAGAGAACGTCTGCTCAAATTGTTGGAATTTAGCAGAAGAAAACAGTAAGCATTCAACAAAAGTTTGCTGATTGTGACAATATAGATAAATTTTAATAATGAAGTCATGCTGTAGGAAATTGCTTGTGATAGGAAATTTGCACCAAATTGCCAGTGCTCTACCCCACAAGACCCTGAGAGACTTGGCCATGAAACCCTTGATGCACCTGCAGCTTGGTTAAGGCTCGGCAGTAATCGTTTCTTCACCCGAAGTTGCCAAAGAGGTCATGAAAACTCACGACGTCAACTTCTCTCACAGGTCTACTCTTGCTGTTCCCTAGATCCCTATTTATGACTTCACAAACATTGCCTTTGTACCTTATGGAAACTACTGGAGACATCTGCGGAAAGTTTGCACGACGGATCTGCTGACTGCTGCGAGGGTCTCAGGAAACATACATTGCTATTATTACAGAACTCACGAAGAGAAAACGAGGTGTTGAATCTCATCAAAACGATAAACGAAACTAATGGGAAGCCTTTCGATCTTGGTGAGAAGGTTTTCTCGATGACATATGGGATAACAGCAAGGGCAGCGTTTGGTAAAAAATGCAAAGATCAAGAAACATACATTGCTATTATTACAGAACTCACGAAGCTGGTATCTGGTTTCTGTTTAGCTTATCTTTTTCCTTCAGTGAAAGTGCTTCGGCTTTTCAGTGGTCTAAAAAAACAAATTGAGAAGTTCCATAAGGAGAATGACAGGATTGTGGAAAACATCATCAAGAAGCATTGAGAGAAGAGGGCAAGAGCGAAAGGGTGTAATGAAGAAGTAGAGGAAGATCTGGTTGATGTGCTCTTACGGCTTCCGGAGCAGGCTGAGTTTCAGTTTGACGACGAAAACCTCAAATCAGTCATCTTGGTTAGTATGCTGTTATTTGTTACATAAATTTTGCAGTTTCAAATACCCTTTACTTCTCATTCAATTCTTTACAGAACCAGAGAGCTTATATTACAGTTTTCAGTACATTTTTGGTGGTGGAAGTGAAACTTCATCAACAACAGTAGAGTGGGCACTGTCAGAAATGATGAA